GCCTGCCAAACACAAAGCAGTTTTAAGAATCATAAATTTTCCGTAAATTGTGGAAAATTTATTTATATGTTCTTTCTTGTACTATGATTTGGCTAGCCCGGGCGAGGAAATCCTAGGAAAATCCTTGGTTTTCCGAGGAAACTCATAGGAAAATCTTACGTTTTCCTGGAAGCTAATGGATTGTGCATGGTTTTCAGAGGAATCCCCTCGCAAAATCATACTTTTCCAAGGCAAGGCTGGGCAGCGAAAATCACAATTAAAGGACCAGATAACCCCACATGCGTATTTTAGCGAAAGCGTTGGCAGCAATTCCAGAAACAGCGGGAGTGAGAGCAAGTGAGTGAAAGGGTAGCGAGAAGCGTGAATGAGTGAGGCGTGAGCGCGGCGGGAGGAAGCGCATGCAGGACGCGAGGACTTCACGGACGAGACGGCGCTCACGCACGGGACGGAAAAGCATGAAGCATAACTGTTTTGAGCTCGTTTGCGATGCACATTCAAAGCCAATACAGCAGCTCACGGTCGGTAGGTGAACCGCGCTTCTCATTTCGAGTTGCGTGGATCAATTTTCAAGCTATAAGGCTAATCTGCACGTCGCCTTCCCATGGCAAAGAGCTGCAAATCTGTAGCAGCAGCACACAATCCAAAGCCAAAAGAACTCCCAGGTCTATTTCGCTGTAGGAAGCTTCTTGTTGGAGGCCGATCCGTCAACACGTACAAGGTCACGTATTTCGGCTTGGAAGTCGATCAAAGCCTGGATCATGAACTCACGCTTCCGGAACGGCGCATAATGCATACGACACCTCATCCAGTGGAACATGGCCTGCTCGAAGCTGCTGCGGTGCAAGCCCATGACCAGAACGCAGTAGGCAGCACAGGTTCGATTGATGCCACCGTGGCAATGCAAGAAGACACGGAGCGGTCGCTGAAGTGTCTCCCTGGCAGCTCGCTCCGAGAGCAACTGCCAGGCTTCGTCAACTTCGCCGGCACGAAACTCCGCAGCCACGGGCACAGCAAAGCGATCGCGAGAGATCGCCAGACTCGCGCCCGTCAGAGAATTGTGCTTCGCCCACTCTTCGAGGATATGAGACCTTTCGCAAGGAAGCCGTGTCCACCCCGCCGCTTTGAAACCCAAAAAATGGCATGCATCTGATCAAAACCACAATAGAGCAGATGCGCGATGTTCTGTGTCCGATACCAATCATACTGACACGGTCCGGACGACACGGATGACACGGCGCGGGCTAGGAATCCCGAAGCGCGCTCGGGGGTAGAGGGGGCCCACCAAATACTGCGCCTGCTAGGAATCCCGAAGCATGCTCGGGGGTGGAGGAGGGGCCACCAAATCAGGGCCAGCAAATGCTGCGCCTGCTAGGAATCCCGAAACCCCCGCCGGGGGCCCACAAAATGCTGCGCCTGCTAGGAATCCCGGAACGCGCTTGGGGGGTGGAGGGGGGCCACCAAATGAGGACCATGCTAGGAATCCCGGAACGTGCTTGGGGGGTGGAGGGGGGACCACCGTTTGCTGCGCCTGCTAGGAATCCCGAAGCGTGCTCGGGGGTGGACCAAATGCTGCGCCTGGCAGGAATCTCGAAGCGCTTGGAGGAGGGCCACCACATGCTGCGCCTGCTAGGAATCCCGAAGCACGTGCTAGGAAGCCTGAAGCGTGTTTGGGGGTGGAGGAAGGCCACCAAATGCTGCGCCTGCTAGGAATCCCGAAGCGTGCTCAGGCGAAAGGAGGCGGGAGGAGGGTGGAGGGAGGAGGCGGAAGGAGGCGGAAGGAGGCGGAAGGAAGGCGGAAGGAAGGCGGACGACGGACGCCAAGCAGAAAAAGCAAGAACCCCACACAAAGATGTGGGGAAAAACATTTTAAAAAAAACATAAACAAAAACATAAATATTTCATAAACAGTTCATAAAGAGTTCGTAAACCTGCAACGGCAAGCATAGCAAACCATAAATGCAAAACGTACAAAAGACATAAAATAATCATAAAAGTAATTCCCAGGACGCCCATGATCTTTAGAACAAAAGATTGTCTTAACACTAACCATGGCGCATCATTGCACCTTCCATTTTCTTGTTCATTCAATTCTGCCTGGTGAGTTGTATCAACCTCGAATACCATTCCTGAAAATCTCAAAGCCCGAAGCCCTGATCCTTCAATGCCCTAAAACACTGGACCATCGCTGAACATAATTCGACACTTTTACGTGAAGCCTGAGAAAGCAATCAGTAACATGAAGTCAGACCATTTACCCATTCCCTAAAAAAGAACCCAATATAGACGTATAAACTTCAAACTTCCGGACCCCTTATGAAGTCCAAACCCTTTTCAAGCTGCCTGGACCAAGTTGGAGCGATCTGTCCCCGCCCGGCCATTGCCAGCATTACCTGAACAAGGTTCGGAGCTCCTGGTTTCATGCTTGAAAGTAGTGGTATCCCACATAATGAAAGCTGGAAATGAAATGGAACCTGGGATGGTACAAATGCGTAAATTTAGGGCTAACTAGGCATATATGTTTTCTTCCTGACCCTTTCTGTCATGAGAGGGTTCACAAAAACCAGGGGTCCGTCTGGCACATAAAGCGCAATATTCCACAATGTGGGTGCCCCGTCGCTGTTTCCAAAGATACTATATAGCATGAGGAGAGGACCACTCCGAAAAAAGGAATTTTGGGGTTTGGGCGTTCCCACTGATGTGTCCTCTCGGTCATCGGCAACCCTCATCTTTTCCCCTGCAAATTCTTGCAATCCACTTGAACCTTGTCACGCTCTGACAAATGGAAAAAACAGCTTAATCCGTGCCAGACCTTCCTTTCTTCACCCAAGCGGCCGTTGTTGTTGGCGTCCGAACCGGTCCATTGGAAGTGCAACAAGGTACCCTGTTCCACCACCAGGTCCTGCGGAAGAGGGCTGAAAGGGCAAGCTTTCAGGATTCCAGCACAAGAGGTTCTATTTTCGTAAGGGGGCTTTAGGAAGCCCCCCAGAAAACATTCATGAATTTGCACGACACGGGGTTAGGTGGTATACGGGTTCACCAGCTTTGGTGATTTTGCCAAAGGTCGTTGGCTGATGAATTGACGTGTTTTACCGTACTGGGTGTCAGGGGTTCTCGTGAAATCCAATGGTGCGTCAATAGAACTTGAAGAACCCTTGTTGCGGGAATTCAGGCATCTGGATTTTCTGGGCACTACGCCACTACGCGAAAGGACGCATTGAGGAAGTGTGTAGTCTTGGGTGCCAAGGTATCCTGCGGCACGAAGTCGTATTCCACTGATGGGTACACTTGAACAATGTTGCCGCGTCGGCCACGGACGTTGTAGTTCACAATGCGTCGATCGGCCGGAACATCTGCGGGCCGCTCTATGACCTTACTGGTTGTTAGTGGGTAATATGGGAATTTAATCCCTATATAAGCCCTCATAATATAATCCCCCTATTCCTGTCTAAAACCACTAGGTAACCTTGGCATTCACGTGAAGGTTTGCGAAGCCAAGGCCATGAGGGAGCTCTGACGGTTGTTTCTAGCAGAAACTGGGGGATGTAAAAGATATGTGTATAACTGTAAAATTTCCCGTCGCGCTTGTGCCTTGTTTGTTCTAGGGTCACGGCCTACAAAACATTCATGATCATGTCACACCATAATATACCAGAAAATAATATAATCTAATTTCCAGTTTCTTTTCCACTATCCCTATATAACCCTCAATATCTACCCGATAATCCCTATATAACGCATGTACGTAATTTTCAAGCCTAAGCCTTTCTAATCCTAACCGAACCATAAAATTGGAATGGATTGTGTCTGGTTTTAGAGAGCGTGTTGTGGCAAATCATGATGAAAAACCAAGCGGCCAGGAAGGTGTGCGTTCGATCCGCGAAGGTACGCCCATACCTGAATGGCGGTTGAAGGCCACGGGATTGGTCATGAGGGTGCTCCAGGTTAAGGAAGGCGACGGCTTGGAAATCTGGAGTGATAGTGTGATACCATTATACTGTTACACCACTACTGTGCTGCATGTTTTCTTGAGATTTTGATGGTATGACTGTGTCATAGTCTTTGAAACGTTCCCGTTTCAAATCTGTGCTGCCGGGTTGCTCCCACTGAACACTACTAAAATCTACTAAACTTATGCGGGCTGTATGAGGACAAATGTCCACATTACTTGTCATATAAGTATGATACGATTGGTTACATGATTCGTATTGACATTGCTCTTATGACCCTTCTTATTTTTCTTGTGATGTCACTATTACCTTTTTTTGCACACATTCTTACTATCAGTCAGCTCTCCAATCACTATCACAAGCAGTACCTTTAAACCCTCAATACTCGTTCCCGGTTTTCCATTATCCCTATGTTCTAAAACCCCTATGCTACCCCTTATACAATCCCTTTTTACACCTGGACTATGCATATATAATCCCTACCTGAAATGCTGGGTTGCTGATTGGTGTTCACCTGCAGTTGGAGCAATCGACTGGTGTCCGCGGAGCCCTCGCCCAAACCAAGCCAGTCCGCAACTGGATCCTGCAACATGAGCTATACTCTAAACTCCGTAACTTTTTAAGGGGTGTTATACAAGGGAGTATTTATACGGCTTATTTATGAAGGGCGATACTAGGAGTTTAGACTATAGCTCATATGGGCGGTATCCAATATTACTTCATCACAAAATGACCTCTTCGCGGAAATCCAAAAAAGTTCCTTTCGCGCAGACCATCGCGAACTTTCGCAGAAGCATCTTTGAAGCGAAAAAAACCCTGAACTCTCAAAACGAACCCTTGGCCCATGCCCTCAACTCCAAAAGCGGATCTGTAAACCCACAAAGCAAGCCGGGAAAGTGAGGTGGGGTTAGAGCTTACCCAAGCCCTTAACTGCAAAACCGAATCGCACAGACCATGTCGTCTCCCATGGCTTGCAATGCTGGGGGCTTGCTCGGCTTACGTGATCTTTCGCGGACGCGAAATCCAAAGTTCCTTTCGCGCGCACCATCACGAACTTTCGCGCAAGGCCTTCATAAGCCAGCCGTGGTCGTTTTATACAAAACCTTCCACACATGGGGTTATCGGACGATGCCCATATGGATTGCCCTCAAGCCCTTCTGCAGGGCAAATGTAGGGATGGTCCTTTTGAGGTAGTTGCAGGTTTGGGTGATATAGGTTTAGAGTTTAAAGATTGAGGTCCAATCAAGCCCCTTGGACCATATGGGTTTCGCGGATAATGAGGCAATATCTACGGGTCGCATGCGGCCTTTCCCTATGACTGCAGTTTTAGACACGTTGACGGCAACTTTGCAAGGTATGGGTCTTGCGACAAGGTGGATTTATGGTTTAGGGCGTAGGGACATTTAATAGATTGCGGGCTTCTTTCGCAATGCAGGACCAGTGACAAATTTCCGAAACCTCGGTACGCTGTATTGCTGAGAGGAAATCTGAACGAAACAGTTGACATTGATCGCGCACGAACAAATCGGCCCAATACTGCGATGAGGAACCTCCCCAAAAGGCTCATCTGATGGCTCTGGAAACCATATACAATCCTCGTGTATGCCACCGACGTGAACCCATGTGTGCTGTCCCGGACCTCGCCGTATAAACAGCTTGTCACGATCGATTTTGCAAACATTTCACAGAAGCAATGGAAATTCCTTTTTAGGGTATATACCATTCCGTCATATTCCGTCTGTTGCTGCCTTATATCCAAATCGGATCCAAACATGACCCTTAGGCCTTTCATCGCAACCGACTGCAAAGGCACAAAGTCCTGAGTTAGAGGCACGGGAACTGCCGGCCGACCGGTGAAGGTGCTCCGCCTGTCACAGAGTATGTAGGAATCTTTGTGTACAACGTAGTGATCGAGGATTATTTTGTAAAATGGTCGCAATCAAACCTGCAGGGATACTATTTGATCGTTGTCGGGAGTAGACGCCTGGGCTGGGCGTTTACAGAGGATGATGCCAGAAATGTGTAGGACTTGTGTAATTTGTGGTGTTCCACAGATGTAGCTGCTTTTTTCTGATCTAGACAAGTTTTCCCTTAAAAGATTACCTGCTGCGAATTTGAATTGCTCCTAGCGATAAGCAAAGGCAACATGAATCTGCCAGCGTGATGACCCCGCCTTCGATTATTTGGATTGGGGTCGTTGAAGCTGCGATCCATGAAGAAAGGGTCTGCTTTGATCCCGGAGAGGGAAGTGCCTTCCTCCGTGGGGTTCGCCAGGGAGCCCAGCGTGAAGTCATCCGTGGTGATGTTGTAGCGAATGCGAAGGACAACGCGGCCTTGGATGTGTTCCGGAATCTTCCACAAATAGTAGTCCGGGTGTCCATTTCGCACGTTGCCATTGTGGTTGTCGCGGCTGGCAATGCCACCCCAGCACTCAGGAGGGGGTTCGTTGAAGGCGGGCTCCAAAGTCCACCTTATCTGCTCGGATCTAGCTTGGGTTTCACAGATTTCACAACGTGGCCGAACTGCCTCACTGTACCGTTTCCTGCTCCTCTGGGGCCGGGGCTCCCCACCATTGCCAGTGCAAGCATCCGGGTTGTTGTACTGGTTGATGGAGCACCTGCCCTTCTCCTTGACGTTCTGCGACTCCGCACGGTAGTACTCGCAACGCTCTTGAGGCTCATTTGTGAAAATGGCGATGTCGTGCCAAGGCGTGGGGTGCCAGTAGGGATAATAATCCCTCTCCTGCGCAGACTATATTATTACGTGATTGCGGCGCTGATTGCGGTTCAACATCTCACAACTCAAAGCTCTGGCAATGCACCTACAAGACCTACAGAATTCAGTTCGGTTTGATTTGGGCCTCTGGGCACTCCAAGCCATGGCGCTGGTTGCCGCGTCGGCGGCCATTGCCGTTGGGGTTCTGCCTGGTTGACGTGGCACCGCCATTCTCCTCAATCTGTTGGTCGGACGTGAACAAGCCCTTGTTGCGTTCACGCTCGTAACAGGCCTGGTAGTATTCCAAAGGCTCATGGTAACCCCTGGCCACCTCGGCTGTTGCCTCCTCAGTGGGATCCTCGTCGTCACCGCCAGCAGAATCCTGGTCGGTCCCATCGCGGAGGTTGGGGTTGTCCGAATCGGTCATGTACTGCAAGGTGATCTGGCAGCGCAGATTCGGATGACCAACGCCACAACCGTGCTGCACGAACCAATCGATGTAAAGTTCTGAACCTTGATAGAATTTCATTGTCCCCTTGGTCGCACCCTCTTTGGTCACGTCGTAGTTGTTGTTCTCATCCTTGCATGCCGGCTTGCAATCGTCGCCAATCTGGTACCCGGACGCGGCATTGTTCTGCGAATCGAAGAGACGATTGGCATTTTGAACGTTGTTGCTCTGCTCCCGCAACTTGTTGTTGGATCCGCGTGGGCTGTTGAGGTACATGTCACCCTGCACAAGCTGCCCGAAACTCAACATAACAGCAAGCGCGAGAACTGCCATGGCAAAGGCTGTTTGAGAGCTACGACACAGGTGGTCGAGGCAGAATTGGAGGGAGCGAAGGAGGGCCACAAGGGCTTGTAGCCGTAAGCGCAAAAGACACCAGACAATCAGCAGCATTCGGCCTCGCATGTGCTGAACATTGCTGAGTCAACTCAGACTCGTCCAACTGCCAGTATGCTGGGCTATACACAAAATTCCCACCTATCGTAGCCCCCCCTCAGCGCGGCACGTAGTGGACAGTCGCGTTTGTGATTGACAATCCATCGCCAAGTAATGCTGATCCGCGGAGGCCAAAAATCGCCCCGCCTCAGAAGCGCACGGGATTCATGGACGTTTGCTTTTTGTGTCCCTGCACTGGAACAAATGGAAAACACTACCCACTGGGATCTTAACCGTGCCCCAAAAACCATGACTGCTGCCAAACCCACAGACTGAAAGCTCACATGATGGAGGACAATGGATTTTTTTCCTCACTAATCTCACGATCAAAAAAGCAACGAAAATGGAAGTAGCATGAAAGTGCTTTTGGCAAGTGCGATGATGAGGACACGATTACCTAGTCGGAATAAAGTCTTGGATTCTACTGGTTGTACCACTGCGGAAAAATGACCTCAGGGTTTTGGGCTGCACCTGTTCATTGCTTGAAGATTCGATTGGGAACTGGGTTTCGGAATGAACCACCGCTCATGGTATCTCATGGTTCTGGCATCTGCAGTTTGTTACTGGCACTTGCCGCTTGATGGAAAGAATCTTGTCCTGGAAGAGTGATAAACCATGACTCACAAACCCACCCTCTCAAGCTCCGCAAAATCAAACTGCCAAAAACTTGAATATGCTCACCCCCTCTATTCCTTGTTCACACAACTCCAGTTCTTGCCCACATCCGAGCGTGCGAACCCTGATTTTGGCATGCTCGGGCAGGCACCATGCTAAGAAGATCGCCGTGGCGCAGATCTACTTCGATCCATCCCGACACATGTCCTGGGAACAATTTTCGCCATGATTCGGGATTCCGTTTACGGGTGGGAGTACAAAAGCACGCCCGAGCTACAACTGCTCAAGCTTTCAAGAATGCTGAAACTCAGCGCGAATTGTCTCCATGCTGGGACTTGCAAAGTTGCTGCATAATGGCCTTGACAACTCTGGTGCTACCGTCTGGGACGATGCAATGGGCGTGCCGACCTACATTGAAGTTCCATTGTGCCTCGAAGGATCCGTTGTGAAAGTGTGCGGCAGTGGTCTTCTGCGTTGGGGGCCACGCACCTGTCTCGGGCCCCAGAAATCTCATACATGTAATTTGTTTGCAGTCCAACAAACAATCACCAAACTGTCAGCAAACCCCAAACCGCAATGCAAAAACGAGATACGGTCGGAATCCACACTCTTCAATCAACATCATCGGCACAACGGGGCTTCAATCCCAAAAAGGCAAAGGTCGGAGGCACTGAAAACGCTGGCAAGTAATCCTTGCACAACCGCAATGGACTGAATGTGATCTTTTTCAACAATGGCTAGCCTCTGCAAAAAAGCAACACAGGTACCGAAACATCGAGGGTCTAGTTTGTGTCACGCTCGAGTAGGTCGGAATGCTCCATGTGCCACGTTTGGAATTTTGAACGTGTCATGTCTGTCGCACAAAGATGCTCATGTTTTTCTGCTGTCCCGAAAGGAACCAGCGGTAACCAGCGCACCGAGGCCTAAAACCATGTTCCTCCCACAGTTCCGAGCATGTGCTTCTTGAGAATTGATATGGACTTAAAGTACACAAACAATGGTTTTGCCATGGTAAAAAAATTTTTGCCATTGCAGCAACCTTCGATATGGCTTGGTAGTCGAGCTTCAGGCAACATGTCGAATTCTACATTAGCACCCAACCATTAAGTGATCGGCACATGCCCTGCCAAATGATGTGCTACAACCAAATTCAACAACCTCATGCTAGCCAATGTGTGGAAATTGAAACATCGCAACTTCCCAAATGCCCAGGACCTGTTTCGGGGTTACCGTCAAAGTGGGCGGATATATAATTTTGTGGCGTATTGAACACCCTAAGTTGCGAATTTGTGATGTTTATCCAGAACCCTCAGACTTCGCTGCGGCCACCCAGGGGGCATCGGTCCTCTCCTGTTCCCGTGCCCTTGTGCCCTTGTGCCCTTGTGTTCTTTTCTTGTCGAGTCCTTCAGTTGTAAGTCTTTGCTGCTCTCTTTGCCTCTGAAGCGGCGACGCTCCAGACAACCAAGGTCCTTGTTTACATACAAAACACGTGTGTGGTTCAAGCTTTTCGGCAGGAAAGTGTCGAAACATATATGTGTTTGTATGCCCGGTTAAGAAACACATAGGTGCCATGGTGGCTTGGTGAAACATAATAGGTAACACGTATATGTTTGGTTACCTCCGGCAATATGACGCAGCTGTGATATCAAACGTGTCGCGGCTTTGTATTTTGGTTGCGTTTTAAACGAAAAAGCATGGAAACAGATATGTGAAATAATAACAGCACTGTTGAAACACAGTGTTGGCTTGTACTTTTGGGGAATGTTTCAGGTATTGGCTTGGGCCGGATTGCTGCACACATACGTAGTATCAAAGCCGGAGACACAAACCACATATATGTTTGTTTTGTCTTTTTTTTGCGTTCGGTGTTTTTCTGTTCCTGCTGATTTTTTTCGGCTTGCAGGCCTTAGGAAAGCCTCCTGTTGCCTCACGCGAGGAATTCACCTGCATACTCTCAGTTTCAAAAGCTCTACAAACAAATAAACTGCTTCCGGTGCCAAAAGGCTTGGGAATTGCTACCTGATATAGAGGTTGTGCGTACCTTCTTGAATATTCGTGATTTTCATCCGCCAAAAATTACACAAGATATAGCATAGCTTCTGCAACTTAGATATAACCCGAAAACTTAAGTTATAACTATCATAACTGAGTTGTAGCTTCCGCGAGCGGCAGAATTATTCGAATTTTGAGCCGCGATCATGGCCGAGGTCGGCGGAGCTTTCGGCGCTGGGTCGGCCATGGAACGGCCGAGCTTCCTCGCTAGCCACAGAAAGGATCGGATCGTCAAAACCACGGGGAGGATCAGCCCCGGCAGCAGGTGCATAGCGATCCGGATCACGATGGGCAGGAGGGGCGGCCCACAGCAGCCCCCGGCAGAAATGGCACATATTGAAAAGACGATCGCAGCTGGTACAGAGGGGCGTTCGCTGATTGTTAGCCCAATGTTCATTGGGCAGCCGATGGGCCGCGAAACACTCACCCCAATCATTCCCGTCGCAATAGCACCCCGTGTAGAGACCGCAGTCCACACAGGGGCGACAGAGCTCGTCTTGTGTGCCAACGGCGAGAGCCTGCAGGGCCACCTGATTAGGGCCCAACCGAAGAGGATCACCCATAGTTGTAGAAAAGAACAGAAAGGGCGGAGTGGGCGGGTTCTTTTCGGCACGGCCGATCGGCTCATGCCAAAATGGCCACGGATCAGATCAGATCCGGGCAGTTCTTGCGATCGCTAAACTGATCCCCTAATTCCTGACCTACCCAGCCGATAATTAGGAAATCAGTTTCTGCGATCTCCACCACTCACAACGTTCGCTGAACAGCCCGCGATCGCACAGCTTCTTTTACGCGACCGCAACGTGGGATTTGGCCACACTGTCGATCAGATCAAAACTTCACTCGATCTTCACAAGTCCGAACGGAGCCCCGATCACCGG